TGGGGGAGGGGGATGCTATTTTCTATATGTTTGTACAGTGCCTCTTAAATTGGAACCCTGACTTGGTTGACCTCTAGACTCTACTGCAATTTAAAAGTTAAATAAAATTATTATTATTTTGCTGCTTTTAAGGCACACAGTCTTTGACAAGAATACAGATATTCTGAGCAAGTTTTCATTAGAGATTTCACAAATCAAAAAAGAGTCTTACAAAAAGTAGAAACTAGGTTAAATTACAAAGGATGAATATGAACAAATAACACAAGTACTTAGGGACAAAATTAGAAAGGTCGAGGCACAAAACGAGATCAAAGTAGCTAGAGAGACAAAGGGTAACAAGAAAACATTCTATAAATAGGTTAGAAGCAAATGAAAGACCAAGGACTGAGTAGGCCCGTTACTCAATGAGGTGGGGGGAAATAATAACAGAATGTGGAAATGGCAGAGGTGCTTAATGACTTATTTGTTTTGGTTTTCACCAAGAAGATTGGTGGTGATTGGATGTCTAACATAGCGAATGCCAGTGAAAATGAGGTAGGATCAGAAGAGGCTAAAATAGGAAAGAACAAGTTAAAAATTACTTAGACAAATTAGATGTCTTCAACTAACCAGGGCCTGATTAAATGCATCCTAGCATCCTCAAGAAGCTGACTGAGGAGATATCTGAGCCATTAGCGATTATCTTTGAAAAGTCATGGAAGACAGGAGAGATTCCAGAAGAGTGGGAAAGGGCAAATATAGTGCCAATCTATAAAAAGGGAAATAAGGACAACCCAGGGAATTACAGACCAGTCAGCTTAACTTCTGTACGCGGAAAAATAATGGAACAAATAGTTAAGCAATCAATTTGCAAACATCTAGAAGAAAATAAGGTGATAAGTAACAGTCAGCATGGATTTTTCAAAAACAAATCTTGTCAAACCAACCCAATAGCTTTCTTTGACAGGGTAACAGCCTTGTGGCTAGGGGGGAAGCAGTAGACGTGGTATATCTTGACTTTAGTAAACCTTTTGATACTGTCTCACATGATCTTCTCATAAACAAACTAGGGAAATGCAACCTAGATGGAGCTACTATAAGGTGGGTGCAAAACTGGTTGGAAAACTGTTCCCAGAGAGTAGTTATCACTGGTTCACAGTCATGCTGGAAGGGCTTAACGAGTGGGGTCCCACAGGGATTGGTTCTGGGTCCGGCTCTGTTCAATATCTTCATCAATGATTTAGATAGTGGCATAGAGAGTACACCTGTAAAGTTTGCGAATTATACCAAGCTGGGAGGGGTTGCAAGTGCTTTGGAGGATAGGATTAAAATTCAAAATGATCAGGACAAACTGAAGAAATGGTCTGAAGTAAATAGGATGAAATTAAATAAGGACATATGCAAAATACTCCATTTAGGAAGGAACAATCAGTTGCACACATACAAAATGGGAAATGACTGCCTAGAAAGGAGTACTACAGAAAGGGATCTGGGGGTCATAGTGGACTACAAGCTAAATATGAGTCAACAATGTAACGCTGTTGCAAAAAAAGCGAACACCATTCTGGGATGTATTAGCAGTAGTGTTGTAAGCAAGACACGAGAAGTAATTCTTTGGCTCTACTCCACACTGATTAGGCTTCAACTGGAGTACTATGTCCAGTTCTGGCCATGACATTTCAGGAAGGATGTGGACAAATTGGAGAGAGTCCAGAGAAGAGAGACAAAAATGATTAAAGGTCTAGAAAAAATGACTTATGAGGGAAAATTGAAAACATTGGTTTCGTTTAGTCTGGAAAAGAGAAGACTGAGAGGGGACATAACAGTTTTCAAGTACACCTCTACCCTGATATAACGCGACCCGATCTAACACGAATTCGGATATAACGTGGTAAAGCAGAGCTCCGGGGGGGGGGGGGGGGCGTGTGCACTCTGGTGGATCAAAGCAAGTTCGATATAACGCGGTTTCACCTATAACATGGTAAGATTTTTTGGCTCCCGAGGACAGCGTTATATCGAGGTAGAGGTGTATGTAAAAGGTTGTTACAAGGAGGAGGAAGACAATTTGTTTTTCTTAACCTCTGGTGATAGGACAAGAAGCAATGGGCTTAAATTGCAGCAAGAGAAGTTTAGGTTGGACATTAGGAAAAACTTCCTAACTGTCAGAGTGGAATAAATTGCCTAGGGAGGTTGTGGAGTCTCCATCATTGGAGATTTTTAAGAGCAAGTTAGACAAACACCTGTCAGAAATGGTCTAGATCAGGGGTCGGCAATGTTCGGCACGCGGCTCGCCAGGGTAAGCACTCTGGCAGGCCGGGCCAGTTTTATTTACCTGCTGACGTGGCAGGTTTAGCCGATCGCGGCCCCCACTGGCCGCGGTTCGCTGTATCGGGCCAATGGGGGCAGCGAGAAGCGGCGCGGGCGAGCGATGTGCTGGCCGTGGCTTC